AAAGTAAAAGAATTTCCTTCTCCAATTAGCCCTTGCCTCAAAAGTCCACATCTCCGTATCAAAGACTTGGCCAAGGGATGTTTACAGCCTTTTGTTCCCAGAAGTTTTTTCACTTGTTAATGTAAGGCCGAATGTTGAATTACTGCCTCTTGGTAGAGAACTACTAATTTTATAAAAAATGTAATATTTGTATCACCAGTGCCATTTGTCATCAAATTGGTTATTCAGTGATTGATCAGTATTTGCAGTTTTACTTTTAAATGCGTATTTTACCAATGGTAGAAACTAGCCATAAACAAATGAGGAGAATCTTGGAGTCAGCTAACGAGATTCCTGATTTTTCAGAAATATGACCCATGCCCGGACTTTTGTCAGACGACATGAGTAGCATGGCTCCCCATAAATTCTGACCCTTCTAACCTTTCTCTATAGCTTTAACCTCATTTGTTTGCAAGACAGGTAACAGACCATGAATTTCCTCCCTCCACCCAGCCATGATTTCAGACTCTTTATCGTAGCCAAGTCCCACTCTGGTCTTAGGTAACAACTATGCTCCCTGGGTCCATCTGACAGCAATTTCTTTCTCTGGATCCTGGTTGTGTTTCCTATGAGACCAAGTTAGTAGTAACAGATGTTTGGCGCACTTGGCCATAGTGTCAGATATCTGGAAACAATCTGGTGCATTCTGAATTTTTTATCCCCCGCTGGAGATGTTCATGCTTAGTCTGAATTTCCCTTTGGTGGGTATGGCTATACAGTAAGCTTCATGCGGCACACAGAAATTGAACTAGATGGCTTGGAAGGCCCTTCTTTCCCCAGGATTCAGTTCTTTTCTGCCATTCAGGCATTCAGTCTTCTTTGCCAGTCTGTGTCAGTGCAGGAAGAGGTCACAGAAAACCCAAATCATGATGTGTTTCTGTGTTTAAAACAGTGCCTTATGCATGGTAAGGCCTACATACATTTGAAATAAATAAAAATATGTGCTCAGATAAAACAAAACTAGTTGAGAGGTAGCTCTAATATAAACTTTTGATCAAAATTGCATGTTATATTTTGGAACACGTTTATATTCTACAGATATCATCGCAAAGCATCTGATGAAGATAGATACAATAGTTTACAAATACCAAATAACAAATAAATGTAGTAGTAAATGGCTTTAACCTGTTGTAGTAATCAGTTATTTGTGTCCATGACTTAGCTGATCCCTCCCGTTTAGAATATTTGAATAGAACAGTTGCGATATCATTTAGCACATTGTCCCCTCCCTTTGCTACACCCTCTGGCAGGCAGTCTGAGACATCAGGTCCTCCCTCTGGTGCCATCTTGTTTTGCAAGATGGTGCAAAAGATGGTGCATCTTCTCCCTGTAGCTGTCACCCTTCTTTCCCTTACAAACTCCTGTTGCCCTCATGGCTAGTGTCTTAAGCTAACTCTTAACAGTCAGGCCATTCTTTAATGTTAGATTCACATACTTGGTTTGCTGCCAGAAACAAGATTTATTATTTCAGCTAGCTTGACTAAGAGTAGTTAGCAAAACACTAGATGTGGTGTTCTCTGCACCCACCGCTAATTACATCAACTCAAATCAACATATTTCAAAGTCACTACGAGAAAACCTTTGCTTTTCCTTTTCTTCATGTTTTCAAGATCATAGAGGAAATTGATGAAAATGAAACCTCCTGACCTGCTAGAAAATCCTAATTTCCCCTTTTCCAGTTCCTAAACTGTTTCCCTGTTTCACAATGAAAAGCCAGTTGTTTTACATATAATACCTCAAACCTTTTCTAATTGTTTAAACATTTCTATTCTAAGTTGAATGTGACACCTATTTTCTTTTGGATTCCTACATCTTGATTATTACGGTTATTTACCCATATTTAAACACATAAATACCTACTACATGACACAGATAGAATCATATTCAAACTCTGGCTTTATCACATAAAAGCTTGTGATACTGGAAAGTTGCTTAATTTCTCAGTACATCAGAAATGGAGATAAAATATTGGTGTACCTAGTTATAGGACTATGGAGGTAAAATGAGATAATTCAAGAAAAATGTTCAATATGTGACATTTGCTTATTGGTCTTCAGCAAAGGCACCAGTTTGTGTCTGATTGGTAGTGGTTGTGGGGATCCCACACTGTAATAGAAGAAACATAGCATCAAATTGTTACTGTATCAATCCAAATAATTGATGCCTTTGAATGCATAGATAATTTGGCAGAGCTGGAAAATTTAATTCTGATCTTTCACAAATACAGAATTATTATCCTTGATAAGTAGTATTGTTAGGGGGAAAAGGATGTCCTAAAGCTAATTCCATACAGGCTTTGTGGACTCCACCCCCACCCCAGGCCAAAGCCAAAGACACTGGGAACTCCAAATCCCATCACCACCAAAGGGAAGGTGGCTGGGACCTGAGTGTGGGGTTAAGCAGCCAGGTTTGGTAAAACCAGACATGTGGGCTTTGGAGAGGAGCCCCCATTTTGGCTTTACGCCAGCTCACAACCACTTCAGCCAGCTGTGAGAGTGCCTTTGGGTTTCCAGGTCGGCGGATCGGGTAGGACGCATTAAAGACTTTATTTCCCTGTTTTCTCCCTGAGTTGTACATTTCCTCAATTCCCTTTCCCTTGTAAATAAACCTTTTATTAACCTTTTGCGTGTGTCTGTAGTGGAGTATTAATAAGTCCCTTTTAAGCACCGGTGAGGACCCACAGCCAGGCAACCCGTTTTATATTGGGGTTGCTCCATAACAGTATCTCCCTTTGATTAAACTGCAAATCCATTATTAACTCGTGGTCAGTAGAAGGTTTGGGAGTGATATCTGGAGATTTGCATGCTAGTCAGGCAGTGGTTTAACTCACAGTTGCATTTGTGGCAAGTCTAATTCAAGAAGAGTGTTCCCCTTTGGACCATGCGTACAGGTAATAGTGGCCTCAGTAACAGGAAAAAAATCCTGTTTAAATTTCTCGATCATCTACTAATTTTAAATTTATCACCATCTACTGAAACTAAACCACTGTCCATGGCATAAATCTAAGGAGAATTTCAACCATATTTTTATCAAGTGACTAGAATGATCATCTAAAAATTAGTTTTATTTAACCTCTGTGTATCCATCAGATGACTATTTGGGACTGGACTGTAATGAACATTTTGCCTTTCGATATTTTTCTTTCTTACTCTAAATAAGTCCTGAGTTTGACTTCTACATATCTGGAGCAGAGAGCCTCTGAGAGTAAGAGACAGATTCCCTCCCATTCTGTGGGTCAGCCCTGAAGGTCAAATGGCTTTGTGCCTTTGTGCCAAGGCTGTCTTCTGGCAGGAACTTTGGGCTCACCTCTCATTGGCTTGCAGACAAGTTGAAACCAGACTGTTGATCCTGTCTGAGAGAGTTGGGCACTGGCTGTCCTGTCTTCTGATTCAATAAATGCCTCTGGGGAATCAGGAAAACTGCTGGCAACGCTTTTAAAACAACATCTCAATGGAATATGGATGAGTCATAGGTAAACTCTATACCATTCCCATTTCTTTATTATATGAAACTTACATGAAATTATAATAATCTCTCATTGGGAGAATTGTGGTCTAACAGATTGTGTTACCTACACATTGCTTTCTACAGAAGTTTTAGAAATCTGACTCTCCATTGATGGCAAGACAGGTTAATTGCCCTTTGGCAGGTTTTTCTACATTATGAAGTTTCTTTAGCTCACCTGAAGATACTCAATCACCTGGAGTTAAAAAGAGGCTTGAAGCCAATCTCAGTGCTAAAATGGTTTAGGTGGCTTGAGTGACTAGGTCTTTGCAGACCTAATTATAATTATCTATCAGCCATGTGATTTCTTAAAAAGAAGATTCAGAATTCATCAACTGTGACTTTGTTTCCTTTTTTCTCCAAATTACTGGCCATTGACCTTCTGGGTGGTTCTTTAGAACTCTACTTTTCTCTTCAGGCTGAAGTGTGGGGGCCATTCTCTAATGAGCATATCAGTAATTTGACATGTCAGGCGTATATCAGAGCGTTCAGCTGTAATTGCTAGTGATCCACTCCTTGCCCAAATTTGCTTGAGACATGATGTGTGAGAGATCAGGTGAAATGTAAATTCCTAATTTTTATAAGTTTAATTCCTCTGTTGTTAGAGTGTCTGAAGGCCACACATGAAGATTGTGTTGATCACTGGAGAAATGCTTGAATCAGGTTTAACATTATGTTCTTGCATTTTATAGAAGACAACCATGAAAAGTGGACATGGGTCACAACTTTGCACTTGCTCTTAAGTTGATTGCAAAGTTTTTATGTTGCTCTCTTTTTTGAGAAGATCACATGATAAATTCCAATTAGTGAATTCCATAAATTCAGTGCCTAGAGTCAGAAAATATTCACCTCTTGATGTAAATTTCTGTTTCCTTTTTATCAGGCCACGAGAACATGGAACTCTATAGGACTCCTGTCAGGAAGATCAACATTAAATTTAGAGCTCAGGGAGGAACCAATGAAGGTCACTTCTCTGCTCATTCTTTATTTCTCATAATTTATAACATGGAAGTATGCAGTTTCATCCTTTATAGGAGCAGATATGTTATAAATTATATGTGTAATAATTATACTTTAGTAAGTTTATTCATATTAATAATCTCCTTATCAGTTAAAACTGTGTCATTCCAGCTTTAGTGTGTATACATGTTATAGCTCAGAGGAGAGAAAATGGCACCTTTCAATCCAGATGTGAGTGATATTATGGTGGATCTAGTGTACTTTTCTCTTTACATTAAGTCATCAGATCCAGGAGTAGTTTTATTTTTTACCTTTTGTTTATTCCAGTCCTTAGGCCAACCTGAAGATGTGATTGCATTTTGTGATGCTGCCAATTCTCCCTCTTCCTCCTACTGACAGCCTCCAGCAACTCCTCCCAACTGCAGAGGCTAATTTGCACCATCTCCTGTTGTGACTCCCTTTGTCTGAGTTGAACTTCTCCCTCTTGTTCCTTACAGCTCCCCATGGCCTGGATCTGTGGAGAGTCCTGGGACCAGCCCAGGTGGATGGAAAAAGACTAGTGCGGTTGTTATGGAAGGTGACCTCCCTCTGTATCATTTTTTGTTTGTTTGTTTGTTTATTTAAAATCCTTGGCCTCTTACACTTCCAAGACATATAACTCTTGAACTTTTTCCACTTGACTCTCCTGAATTTCCTTCCCTAGATTTATGGTGTTCCAAATCTCACGGTGGTTTCCCAGCTCAAAAAAACACTGAGGTCATCTTATAGATGTACTGAGTATGTGTTACAGACCCTGGTCTCCTCTTTTTTTGGTCTTAAGCTTTAACCTTTGGAACAGTACAAACTGTAGGAGACACCTTGACCTTCTGGAGAAAACCATCACTGGGTGGCCTCCATGAGAGGGCAATGTAAATTTCTATACGACCACCTCCATTTTGGCGAAGAGCACTGTCTTGGGGTCAGGTCATTACAGATAATGTACATGTGTCCCTTTGAGTCCTGGGATAGCAGTGCAAGGAGAGAGCAGGGCCTGCATGGTTTTCTCTAGGATCAAGGCCTGAAGTGAGGAACAAAGAAGACAGATGGGTAATGCAGAGAGGGGGAAAAAAGAGGAGGAAGCAAGAAGATTAAGGAAAAGACTAGAAAAAGGGGGGGGGAGAGGGCATAAATAGGAAAGAAAATGACAAATAGAGGGAAAAAAAATCCAGAAAACAGGGGAGATAAGAAATCGGCAGGGGGTTGAGGAAGATAAGGAAGAGAGGGGAGCAGTGTGATGCCAAAACTCATTAATATGTCTAAAATTCCCAGGAAATACTCATCGTGTCAGCTCATGCTTGATAAAGTCCAGGCAAATTTAGAATCGTTTTGAAAATGGATAAATCGCTCTGCCTTGTCAAATGACATTCCAATCCTATTAATAATTACTTCAGGGTTAGAGCAGCCTCCTTTCCCCCACTCCCAGCACACCCCCTCAGGGGACCACCGGCAGATGCAGAGGCAACCAACCTGGGAAGCACAGTCAGTGGTGTTGGGAAATCTTTGCGAATCAGGCCCAGATGTGATTTCTTTCTCAGTTATCAAGTATGAAAACAAATGACTCCATCAATATGTTTGGGAGGAGGAAAGCAAACAATGGCACATCTTCAACTGCCCCAGAGTCAATGGGTCAAGAGGCCAACCTGAGAAGTAGGTGAGATGCGCTTCAGCGCCCTCCTCTGCCTCTGTCTCAGCCGGGAACTCAGCTTCCTTTTGTCGCAGTAGGAGAGTTTTCTTAAGGATTAAAATTGGTTAAAAAAGAACAGACTAGAATTAGATATTGGTGATGCTAGTGCAACTGTGAATGTACTAAAATCGTGACTTCAAAACAGTGAATTTTATGGAATGGGATTATATCTCAATAAAGCTGGTACTAAGAAAAAATTAGTTTGCCCGAGACAACTAACTGGGAGCTGCGAAGGAAGTTCCTGAGCTGGAGCAGTGCTGGGTCAGAGTGACTTCTAAACCAGCCTGTGCTCGCTTTCCGCAGCTCTGCTCCCTCCATGTGTGTAATCCCTCCCAGAAAGTAAACAACTGGGAAGCCCTGAAATTGGGGGGAAATACTCAGCATGCTGATGCCTCTGAAAACATGTGGTGAGCAGGCTCAAGTTTGGGGTAACCTGAAGCTTCTCACTGGTGGGGCAGTCACGGGAGGGGCAGCTTGGAGGTCTCAGTCCTCTGCGCTGGAATTCCTGGGTGCCTGATTCGGGAAAGTAGAGATAAAAGGCAAGGACGCAGGTACCCTCCCGTCCTTGAGGGCATGGTGGTGAGAGTAGAGAAGAGTTGAGAATCAATCCCTGATGTGATTTGATCAGCTGGATGGGCATTAGAGGGCACTGACTTGGATACCGACATGGCCATAACGCCCCATGCCCGTGTCGGATGGAAATACAGATACGGCCCAAAGGAACAGGTGGCTTGCGTGTGCGGGCATGGGTAGGCTCCTAATTGGGCTCCATGCGATTCGATTTCTGTGAAGGGTTGATATTAAGGTACCATTTAGCAAATCCTTTTTTTCTGGCAATTGATGGGTTCATACCACAGCGTTGGTCTTTGATTCCTCCTTGGAAATAATTTCCTGATTGTAGTTTAGCGCCTAACAGTTACCATTACTGCCCTCCCCCACACTCACCATTACTGCTCGCTCCATGTCTTTCTCTTTTGTTATTGGCAATAAATTTTGTTTCCTTTGGATTCAGAAGGCAAGAGGAACCCCGGTCATGGAGAAAACACTTGGCTACACTATATGGTACTTTCCAGAAAACAACACTAACCTCACAGAGACGAAGAATACTACCCAACAGCAACTCGATGTGTATCTGGAAGGCAAGGCCTATTGGGTGTTTGTGATTTCTTATAATTCTCTCGGGAAGTCTCCAGTGGCCACCCTGAGGATTCCAGCTATTAATGAAAAGTGTAAGTAGAGTGTAAACTTCTTGTTTAGAATTAGTTCCATCCAGTTGACCAAGGAGTAGTCCCTGTGCTCTCAAGGTTGCTGTTTCTCTTTAGTCTAAATGAAAACGAAGTGGGGGCTTTCTAAGTTATGGTGGGAAAAGCAAAATCTTGTGGTAATCAGTGAACCCCTTGAGATAAAGTTCCTTTGGAACAATGCTGTGTTGAAAATCAATGACTTCATAAATCATGTGATACAAAGTCATAGCCTGAAGATTCTGTGTGCAGCTTGCATTTGTTCTGGCCGGATGAGTGCGCTCTATAAAGCTGTAAAATCTGTCACGTTTGTCCTCAGACTCATTCAGGCATTTATGTACCAGTTCTAGGCTAGTCTAGAATCAGTGCCTTGGCCCCCACCTCAAATCTCTTTCTCCTGTATCCTTACAGCTAACCTACTTGTTCCCTTGCCTCATTTTAGAACTCTTAAATATGCACATTTTGTCTTATTTTAGTGTTTGACTGTGTCCCCTTAGTCCTTGGTTCCTAACATCCTACTTCCTAACTCTCCAGTACCCCTAGGGGTGACCTTGTCACACATGCATGTGTCACTACATGCACATCCTCTGATAGCAGACTAGACACGCTGCTGAGTAACCTCTCAGTTTATTGGCCCTAGTGGGAGACAGTAGGGGGTAAAACTGGGACTTTGGAGCCCAGTGGTGCTGCATTCAAACCTGTGCTCTTTCACTAGATGTCACAAATCCTGGACAAGTTATCTAATCTCTCTAAACCTTAACAACTTATAAAATAAGGCTATTATAGAGTAATACCTACCTCATAAAAATGTTGCGAGGTCTAAATGAGACGTGTGTAAAATACTTCATCTAATGATAATTATCATTTAAATAAAATTTCTGATTAAATTTCTGTAAGACATGAATTATCAACTTTAAAAATATGATAAGATATACTGTAACTAAAATTCACTGAGGGTTTCCCTGCTCCACTTCCAGTTCTGAAGCCACTTGCTTTATCAGAAGCATCAGTGGTCCAGAACAGATGTCAGCAAACTACAGCTCGTGGGCCAGACCTGACCTGTTTTTGTAAATAGGGCCTCATTGGGACACAGCCACACCTATGCCTCATGTATGGTCTGTGGCCCCTTTGTGTAACAGTGGCAGAGGCTAGTAGCTGTGACAGAGATGCTTGCTCTGCACAGTGTCATGAATTTCCAGTTGACACTATAGGAAAAGTTTATAGATCCCTAGGCTGTAACCATTTACAGTCTTAGATGTAGAAAGAAGTAATATTCTACAGATTTTTGCATCATAAAAAAGGAGTCAAGTGGAGAATAAGTTATAATATTGTTATAAATATAACATTCATTAAGTATAACTACCATATATTATCCATAATTATATGTCTGGCATTGTGCTAAGATGATATAGGTTAATGTTAACATTGAAATGACCCATAAGGTTAAATGCTATTATCATTTTATTGGTGATAAAGTTGAGGTTCAAGAAAGTTTAGTTATTTGTTCAGGCTTCCTCAGGTGAAATTTAAGCCTAGGTCTGCATGATCCAAACTTGTGCAATAAAATTTAACTGGAAATTTGGACTTGGTAGTAATAAAGTACCTTAGAATTTTGGTCACAGATGCTGCATGACACTGTGTGGGCCTCCACTTCCCCATCTTTAAAATAAGGGATTGGAATAGATATACCTCAGGTTTCTTCTGGCCTGAGCATTATTTAAGTTCTAGATGACTTTAGCCAGCAAGCAGCTTTGGAGTGGTCTGAGGCAGGGTCTAGACGATCACAGCCACCTGTGTGGCGATCACCTGAGGAGAGCTTGGGACTGAGTTGCGGTAGAGTTGAGGTTGGGTTAGGACAGCTGGCAAAGGCGAGTAACTGCAACGTCTGAGAACTACATCTTATGGCCCAGCATGACTGCCTTCGTGCAAATCCCAAGAAATTAATGCTGTTCAGTATCCAAGTCCCTTCCCTCTTTTCTTCTCTCTCTCTCTTTTTTTTAAAGATTTATTTATTTATTTATACAAGCACTGGGTACAGTCAGAAGCACGGGAGGGTGAGAGAACTCATCAGAGCTGGAGCGGGGAGCAGAACAGGCAGACTGACGAAGTACACTGCTGAGGGGAGGACCCTCACCGGTGGCCGGGAATCCAACTGGCGTTGCAGAGGCTGCGGGTAGCTTCGCAGCCCAGTGCTCAAATGCTGCGCCACCGGCCCTTCTCTGTTTTCTTAAGAAAGGTCTGTATTTTCTGCCATCCCTGAGACTATCATTTGGAGAAATCCTTCGACATTTTCTTGTCGAATGAGGGCGGCTTGGTAATTAGTTTACATGCAGGATGACTTGGTGCCAGTCCAGGACCTTTCCTCTCTCAGGCTGACTCATGACTTAACTGAACCATCCCCACCCCACCGTGGTCAGAGCCTAGGCTTGTTCCCTTGTTGCCCTCAGTACATTTCACTCTTTCAATGCAGCTCCTGCTCCTCAGAGCACCAGTTGGTAAAGAGAAGGGGTGATGGGGTGGGGCTAGGAACAACACTCCAGTCTTCAGGTCAGGATTTGTGTGAAGTAATTCATTAAGAAAGCTCCTCTAGGGAGACTAGAAAAGGAAGCAGAGGAAGCAAGGCCATGCCAGGGGAGGAGGCCAGGCCGCAGATGCTGTTTAATTTTTTCCAGGGTACCACAGGTGGGGTGGATTCAAACAATAGAAATGTGCTGTCTCTTAGCTCTTAAGGCTGCAAGTCTGAAATCAAGGTGTTGGCAGGGCCATGCTTCTTGTAAAGCCTCTAGGGGAGGCTATGTCCTTGCTTCTTCCAGCTTCTGGAAGCTGTTTCTCATAACTCCAGCAACAGCATAACTCCAGCAACAGCAATCTCTGCCTCAGTCTTCACATGACCAGCTTCCTGTGTGTCTCTCCCTTTGTGTATTACACTTATAAGCACACCAGTCATATTAGGTTACGGGTCCACCATTTTAGCTTGGCCTTTTTATATCTGTGATGACCTGATTTCCAAATAAAGTCACATTCCACAGTACTGAAAATACCTTGGATAGGCAGGGGTGGGGGTGGGTTGGGGGGGTGGTACAGTTCAACTCATAATAGGTACAATCTGGGGAGGGTGGTTCCAGCCTAACCCTGAGGGTTACTCTGGAATGCAAATTCTATCTCAAATTTATCGCAACTCAGCAAGCACAACTAAGTAACAAAGACTCTGAGAGGCTCAGGGGACGCTCCAGGAATGACTTCAGCCTTACTGGAATGACTTCTGAGGATGCTTAGAGGCTATGAGCAGGGGAGGGCTGAGGGGAGACAGTAGGAGCCCTGGCGACTAGGTGGAATTGACTTCCTGGCTCTGTGCTCCTTGCCCTCACCCCTACCCCTTACCCCAACTCATGTCTCCTTCATGCCTCAGGTGCCTTTCCTCAGAGCTGCCCTTCCAGGTTGACAAGTTACTTGACCTACCTTGTAGGACAAGCAGCTGGAGTATCTCAGTTTGGAAAAGAGACTATGGCTTTCAAGAACAGAAGCTCCTAACTATGCACACAGCTTGCTGGGGCTTGTTTCCTAGAAATAGCAGGACTCAGTACCCCTGTTCCCATCTCAAATCTCTACACTTGGCCTAGCCTTCCAGATTCAAAAGATTTTTTTTTAAAGATTTATTTTATTATGCATACAAGAACTGGGGTACAGGCCAGAGGTGTGGGGAGGGGGGGTGAGAGGATTCACCAGAGACAGAGTGGGGAACAGAACAGGCAGACTGACTGAAATACACTGCTGAGGGGAGCAGCGGGCAAGACAGGAGAGGTCTGCTGTGCCATGTGAATTTCTTCCTGACTGACTGGGGATCGAACTTGTGCTACAGTGGCTGCAGATAGCTTCATAGGTTGTGTCTTAACCCCTTGTGCCACCAGGGAGGCCCCAGATTCAAAAGATTTTTTGGTTTTTTTTTTGAGGGACACCATCTAATCTTCTGTCATCAACCAGGACTGTCTTTGATGTTACTTAGATATACTTGCTGTGAATTCCAAGTTTGAAGGCTAAGATGAGTTGTGGGTGGTGAGAAGTGGGTGAGAGGGGTGAGCCATATCCTGTGACCCTCTGAGCATTACCCCTTCCTGCACTTTTCTGCCTCTCTGCTCCTCCAAACAGTTCTCCTGTCTTCTGTGTATTTCGAACATTGTCAATAAGATCACTCTCAATTCTGATTAAATCCCAGGTACTAGATCTGAAGCCACCTGTTCAAACTCTCTATTAAAGGGATCCTGTGGCCTGTTTCCAATCTTGAGTTTCTGACAGGCCCATGGGAAATGTCATTTACGTATTGGGCCCCACCTAGGTGCTTTGCATATGTGAGTCTGTGCATTTCTGGTACAGACACAGTTCCTACTGCCTTGCAGATAGGAATCCATAGTCAGGTTTATAGGGTCAGCCTAGGCAGTTCAAATTTGAGGCCAGCACCCTGATAGAGTTTTAGGCTCATTGTCTCCTCGCTTCTTAGCCACAGAATGACTGGTGCCTGAAATTCTACCCGTGATTCATTCTTCATATCAGACGTGCTCTCTTTCTGACTTGCAGGGATGCCTGAGGGAGGTAGATTTTTTAATTAGCAGCTCCCTAGTGAGATCCTTCTCTAGAAACAGGCAAGTTTAGGGGGAAATTAAATAAGAGGTGAAGTAGGCATTCAGTCATCAAAGATTGGGGGTAAGGAGAGGAGATATAATAAACAGGTGAAACCAGCACCTGAAGGGGAGGCTTCCCTGGACATCGGGAACTTTGACCTGAGCATTGAATGGATGCCAACGAGGTTGGTGTGTCTGGAGGAGTCGGGTAGTGGTGACTGACTGCTTTTTCTCTCCTTTCAGCGTTTCGCTGCATTGAGGCTGTGGAGACCTGCCTCACTCAGGACCAGGTGGTGGTGGTGTGGCAAAGCTCCACTCAGGAGGTGGACTTATGGGTAATCGAGTGGTTCCCAGATGAGGACCCCGAGCCCTCTACCTTCTCCTGGGAGTCTGTGTATATGGCCAGGAACTGGACCCTCCAACAAGGTAGCCAGATTGGAACCCAAACATACCCTCTGTGTAGGATCTAGTTTCATTTATATCCATTTTTAAATCTTTAGCTTTGGCTTCAAAGCTGTTTGTGTGGTTAATAGCATTTCCCAAGCAAGCACAAGCTTAGTGAAATGACACGTTTCCTGGCATTTTCCAGCAAGGCTGAGCAGGATGTCATGGTGTCAGACCAAGTATCTGGCCTATTCCCAGGTGGAGAATAACATCTTACCCCCATCACTAGCTTTCCCCAGGTACCTCGATCACCTCGCAGGTATTCAGGATGCTTCCTTTAGTTCTGGTTTACTGGTTTAAGAACTAACCCGCTCCCCCAGGCATTGATTGAGGGAATAGCCTTCTTTTCAAGAAAGTCCCTAATCCATGTAAGACACATGAGTAAGACTTTACCCTCCCAACTCTATCAGCCCAACCATTTTGTAATACTTAATAGCACCCATATGAAGACCTATACAGGCAGACTGAGGAGCTGGAATTAATGGTGTCTGAGTTCTCTAGGGTAATGTGCAATTGACAGGAGGGTTAAGGGTATTCTTAGCATCCCTAAATCATAAGACACAATCAGTGATGGAGGAGGGACTGGATCTCCTACTCTTCCTTCCTGGATGGTTCTGTCATTTTGCCAGAGTGGAGCAGAGCTTAGTTGTAAGACTTAATTAGAAACATTAGAACTGAAATAGACAGGAGATACCATCCAACCGAACCTTATTTACCAGATGTGGAAATTGTAGAAATAGAAAGCATCTTCCAAAAGCTTTAGACCGTAACTCTTATTAGTCCAGCATTCCTTCCACTGTAAATATGCTGCACTTACGTTTGTTTTTCCTTCTCTCCCACCCTCTTTTACAGATAAATTAAAACCTTTCTGGTGCTATAACATCTCTGTGTATCCAGTGTTGCAAGACCGTGTGGGCGAGCCATATTCCATCCAGGCTTATATCAAAGAAGACAGTACGTGTGGACAAGGTCCTGGGTGGGGGAAGGACACGCCAGGGCCGGTCAGGTTCTCCCAATGTTGTAGAGCAACCCCGATACAAAACGGGGTGCCTGACTGTGGGTCCTCACCCGCGCGCTTAAAAGGACTTATCAATACTCTACTGCAGGCACATGCGAAAGGTTAATAAAAGGTTTATTTACAAGGGAAGGGGAAATGAGGAAATGTACAGCTCTGGGAGAAAAGTGGGAGACAATGTTTTAAATTAGTCCTACCCAATCCACCGATCAGGAATCCCAAAATGGCGCTCTGAGAGCTGGCCACCAGCCAGGAGCCGTGAAGCCAGGAGGCGAGCGATTGCGAGCCAGGAGAGCCCAAGGCCCACGTGTTTGGTTTTTTATATTCAACCTGGCTGCCCAACTCCACCCTCAGGTCCCAGCCACCCTCCCTTGGTGGTGATGGGATTTGTCTTTCCCAGAGTCTTGATGGCTTTAGTCTGGAGTGGGGGTGGAGTCCACAAAGTTAATCCTGTATGGGATTATCTCAGGACATCACTTCCCCCTAACACCAACAGGCTGCGCCTCACTGTGGGTTGCCTAAGGGGTCACCCATACTGCACCTTCACTTTTTTAGTAAGCTGTGTATGTTCAGTACAACTGTGATCAGGTTATAGATCCATTGAATTTCAAAACTGTTTGTATTCATTACAAATTGTTAAATGCAAGCCCCTCATTGCACAAATGGAAAATTGAGACACAGAGAAGTGAAGTAAATTGTCTGAGGTCATAAAGAAATAGTTCAAATAGCACATAAGCAGAAAACATTTTATTAAAATGAACTTAGGATCCTTCAGAGTTAATTAAGTTGGAGATGCTACCATACTATTTTCATCTGTGTAGCTATAAGCAAGGATTTTACTGGTGAACTGTTCAGACTTTGTTGTAAAATACCAAACTTTTTTGGTAGTTCCCAGTTCCCAGCTTCCAGATTTGACATTGGGAGATAAATTACTCAAAGGTGTCATATGAGTCTTACTCTAATTATTTGTTAATAGTTATACTTTACAGATTTGAGTGAAAGGTCTGGATGCCAAGTTGCAGTAAAAATCTAGAGGAAAGTACATTTCTCTGGTTTTTGACACAGCTTTTCTTCCTGGTCAAGATTGATGACTCCAGGAAACAATTTTCCCTAATAAAATGATTCATCAATTCCCTGCCTTACCCTCACTTCTCACCCCCAGTACTGATTTCAGTCTGAGTCCTCTCCGGAGCTGTTGTGGGGGCAGGATCTGCTAGAGTGTGATTCAGTGTGAATTATTTTTCTCCCTGCCCTGTAAAGTTCCATTGGAAGGTCCCAAGGCCCAGGTGGAGAACATTGGCATACAGACAGTCACAGTCACATGGAAAGAGATTCCCAAGAGTCGGAGAAGAGGTTTCATCAGCAACTACACCATCTTTTACCAAGCTGAAGGAGGAAGGAGATTCTGTAAGTGTACTTATTGCCAAGTTGAACAAAACCCAAGCCCCAAATAGATGTTACAGCTAGACCCACCATGGGGAAGCCACCGTGGGTGGTGCCCTGCACGCTTGCGTGAGTCACTTGCCTTCTTTGAGCCTCTCTGAAAATGGGGCCAACAGCACCTGCCTTTTGAGTTTTTAGTCAAATGAGAGTGAAGTGACAGTACCTATGAGTCGTGTAGGAACCTGAGGAGTTGACGTAGTTTGTCCTGGTTAGGCCTTGGACATGTAGGCCTCCTGGGAACTCCTCATTCTTATTCCCAATCAGGATGTGCCTAGATTAGCCAGGGACAAACCCCGTTTGGCAACATATTTCAGTGCAGGACTTTTGTCATGATTCCACTGCCCCTGCCACGTCATAATTTTTTTTTTGATACACTGCCTCCCGACATCCTGTTTCCAGGCTAGGCCTGGACTCCTGCTTAGGCTAATTTTAGTTGTTGTCATGGTAAAATACATATAATATAATTTTTATGATTTTAAACAATTGAAAGTATGCAATTGAGTGGCATTAAAACATCCACAATGTTGTGCAACCATCACCACTGCTTCCTCTTCTCTTTATACCCAAACAGAAGCCCTGCACCTATAATCAGTCACTTCTCATTGCCCTCTTCCCAGAGTGCCTGTAAATCACAAAATTGCTTTCTCTCCCTATGAATTTACTTATTCTCCATGTTTCATATAAGCCGTATAGGATATATGTGACCTTCTATGTCTGGCCTCTTTCACTTAATAATCGTGTTTTCAAAGTTCACCCATTCCATACAGTAGCATGTTCTAGTACCTCATGCATTTTTATGGCTGAATAGGTTCTGTTGCTAGGCATAGACCACATTTTGTTAATTCATTCATCAGTGGGTTGACATTTTTGTTTTCACCTTGTGGCCGCAGTGGCTAATGCTGCTGTGAACATGGGTGGCGCTCTGAGGAGCCACCAGATTGTTCCCACAGAGGCTGCACCATTTTACATCCCCAACAGCAATGTAAGTGTCCAGTTTCTGTAATGGCTTTTAACAGCTTATTTTCTGTTGATGTTGTTCAAGTTATTTGACCATCCTAGTGGGTATGAAGCAGCATCTTAGTGTGGTTTTTATTTATATTTCTAATGATCAGCGATGTTGAACATCTTTTCCGTGTTTGTAGGCCATTTCTTTAGAAAAGGCTTTTCAGGGGCCTCTGCTGGTGGCGCAGGTGGTTGAGCGCCACTCTGTGAAGCTGTCTGCACCCTCTGCAGTGACAGTTTGATCCCAGCTGGCCGGCGAGGGTCCCACATGGCGCGGCAGACCTCTCCTGTCTCGCCCGCTGCTCCCCTCAGCAGTGTATTTCATCAGTCTGCCTGTTCTGTTCCCTGCTCTGTCTCTGGTGAATCCTCTCACCCTCCCATGCATCTGGTCTGTATCCCAGTTCTTGTATAAATAAATTAATCTTTAAAAAAAAAGGCTTTTCCATCTCTGCCTATTTTAAAATTGGGTTGTTGTCTTTTGGTTGTTAAGTTGTAATAGTTCTTTATATATTCTGGATACAGGTTCCTTATCAAAACTGTGTTCTGCACAGATATGTTTCCATTCTGTGGATTGTCTTGATGTTTTGCCTTTTGATGCACAAAAGCATTTCATGTTGACAAAGATCAGTTTAGTGTCTTTTGTTGCTTCTATGTGTGGTATCAAATATAAGAAACCATTTGCCAGATTCAAGGCCATGAAGATTGACCCTATGTTGTCTTTTAAGATTTTTATAATTTTAGCTCTTATATTTAGCTCTTTGACTAGACAAACTTTGAGCAGAACAGGGGTAGAGGAATTGGAGTATGAGATGGCCACGCTTGGAAGTACAGATTCTAGTCTCTTATTTTAGTACCACTAAAGCATAGTTTTCAGAGGGCTTACTGTGATGTTTGAATTGTATATTTTTCTTTTAGCCGAGACCGTCAACTCCAGCATCTTGCAGTACGACCTGGAGTCCCTGACACGGAAGACCTCTTACTATGTTCAGGTCATGGCCAGCACTGTTGCTGGGGGCACCAACAGTACCACGATCAACTTCAAGACGTTGTCAATGAGTAAGTATTTCCTCCAAGTCCTGGGCACTCTCCTTGTCATTTCCCTGTTGTCAGTCAGAGATGACATTTGCCAAAGGTATGGGGAAGCCAAATGAAAGGCTAGTACTTAAATGAGAAAATCCATCCTCCTCTCTGCTCACGGACCTTCCTGGAAGATGCATGGGTGAGGAAAGGACAGGGAGGATTGAGAGCTGAGGATTGAGAGCTGAGCTTAGAAAGAATAGTCAGTTTGCTCCCTCCTCCTGGGTAGCTCCTTGAGGAGGTCCCAAATCAGCTCCCCACTCGAGGTGGTAGGTATCCAAGCTCCTAGTTATCAGTTTCTGTGCGTCAGTGGTGACTGCAGTGTAGGAGAGGGAAACCTTGGTTGTCCAAGGACCGGTGGTCCACAGGAAGAACTTAATCTCATCATTTGTGCGGGTTTTTTTAAAACAAAAAAGTGCATAATGTGTTCTGCTTACCAGCATTGACAAAAAAAAAAAAAAAAATTGGGGGCAGGAAAAAGTTAGTAAATACAACAGGAATGTAAATATGATGTGGCTTCATATCAAGAAGGGAGGAAGATAGAATGAGAAGAAAGTGAAGAAAGAAAGAAGAAGAGGGCCTCCCTGGTGGCTCAGGGGTTAAAGTCTCAGCACTATCAAGCTATTGCCAGCCACTGCAGCATGAGTTTGGCATGAGTTCTATCCCCTGCCAGGGAGATACCCACATGGCGCAGCAGACCTCCCCTGTTTTGCCTGCTGCTGCCCGCAGCAGTGTGTTTCAATAGATCTGCCTGTTCTGCTCCCCACTCTGTCTCTGGTGAATCCTCTCATCCTCCTGCACATCTGGCCTGTATGCATGAGTAAAAATAAATCTTAAAAAAAAAGAAAAAAAAAGGGGGCCTTCCCAGTGGCGCAGCGGTTGAGCGCTGGGTTGCGAAGCTGCAGCGCCGGTTCAATCCCCGGCCACCGGGTGAGGGTCCCCTCATGGCGCACAGACCTCTCCTGCCGCCCACTGCTCCCCTCAGCAGTGTACTTCACCGGTCTGCCTGCTCTGCTCTCCGCTCTGACTCTGGTGAATTCTCTCACCCTCCTGTGCTTCTGACTGTGCCCAGTGCTTGTATAAATAAATGAATCTTAAAAAAAAAAAGAGTGAATTGTAATGAATTGAAAGAAAACTAATAAGGAATGTATTGCTGCAATCTAGAGGAAAAAATGAGTCTTTCTTTTTGGTCAAAAAAGTGAGGGGTACGAGTGCATCCTTTCCCTGACTTTCATTCTTTTTTCCCCAAAGGTGTCCTTGAGATTTTCCTTATAACTTCTCTGGTTGGAGGAGGCCTTCTTGTTCTCATCGTCCTGACGGTGGCATATGGACTCAAAAGACCTAAGTGAGTTTATGGGCAGTAGCATGTGCCCTCAGGGTTGGTAAGGGGAGAAAAGCATCCTAGGCGGAAGAGGGCACTGCCATGAAGGGGGTGTCCATTCATTTATTAATACGGTACATATGTATTGAGTTCGGTGTAGGCCATTCCCTGGGACTCTTCAGAATTCTGACTCAACCAGAGGAATTTTACCCCAACTGCCCACAGTTGCACATACCAGGTCTAGACCTTTTTAAGGTCAGGGAGTATGAATTGGCCCCCAGGCTATATCTGCTGCATTTGCCACCTGAGACTGGAGTTGAGGAGACAGTTCCTTTCTCATTGTCTAGAGGGGATGCCTGGAAAGAGCCTCAAGGCCACTAACTTCTCTCAGCAGATCAGGGAACTGTGGATTCATGGAGTTAGAGTGCTGGCCAGTCGGAAGCCAGCACAGACACGTTCCTTGCTCAGGTGCAGCATCGGGAGGCCCAGCTGCAGGAGCAATTGCCTGCATGGCCTGGCCGTTGCAGGGAAGGAAGTTTCTCTTCAGAGTCTTGTGCTTCTCTCCCAAGTGAGCCTCATGCTACCCTGATGGTCAAGGGTTCCCTCCTCCTCAGACCTCTCTCCCTAGAACTGAACTCTGGTGGCCTTCTATAGGGTCAGGAAGGACCACTGAGCAGATTTTCTGATCCAGCAGACCAGGTAAAGGAGGAGTCATAGTCCTCAGTGGCTTTTTGCAGGCTTTTATTGAGGTTTACCAGGCATATGGCAGGCAGGGGTGGTGGGGGGCCAGGAGGCTGGCAGTTAATTGTCCTGCTAATGTCAGCCTCAGCTCTCAGCTGAAGGTTGTAACCAAGTCACCAGCACCAATTGTACATTTTACGTGTCTAACGAGCTGCTACTGCCCTTGGGACCACACCTGAAAATTACCACACTGAAGTGTGGGTGTCTTAGGAGACTCGGACTTTCATCCTTCCTGAGGAGCAGATCAGAGAGAAATGTCTATGATGATGATTTCTGACTTCAGGACCAGTGTGGAGATGCAGGTGTGGGAGAGAGAGGAAGGGTAGCCGTAGCTTTATATGAGGAGAGTTCTCTTCCCATCATGCCCCAGGGGTGGGACTTTGCTTTCCCAATTTTCGTCAGGAGGCTGGCAGCTTGCCCTTATTAGAGAGGAGAGGCACACAATTCTCTTCAGCAAAGCCCCACTCTTTTGCCTTGCCCATATAGGACATAGAAAATGCTTCTTGGACTCACTTCCTGTTTTAAACTTTCATCTTATTAGCAAACTGAAGCACCTGTGTTGGCCCAAAGTCCCCAACCCCGCTGAAAGCAGTATAGCCACATGGCATAGAGATGATTTCAAGGTAAACATTCCTGGTTTTGAGCCTGCTAGTTGTGGGAGGTGGACTCGGGTGATGGGGGGAGTCCTGGGCTGAGAGTTCACATAGAAAACTCAAGGTTAAAAAGTCCCAAGGAAGATCTGGCAGTACAGATGGAAGCAGCCCCCCTGGAAAGACTCTGACCTCATCTTTGGACAAGAGGAAAGGGCTTCACCAGGCTCACAGGGTCCTGTGTGTGTTCTGGGCATGGAGCTGGTCCTGTGAAGGACACACAGGAGACCCCAGCTCCACCTTAAGGGTCTGATGAAAGTGGGAGAGAGCCCAGCCACAGAAGCCATTGAAGAAGCAGCAAGTGAATCTAGAGGCCACTGACTTGCACAGCTGTCCAAAGGCTGGGCAGGCTGCCTCAGACTGTTTTTATCAGAATGAGGAAGTTAGAGTCAGATTCTGTTTAATTGGCAGTGGGGACTTTTAGAGAATCATCTGTAGGTAAAAACTCTTTTTCATGAGTTTAAACATTGAAAACTTATGAAATTTTTAAGGTTTAATTTCTTGCTTATGTAGCAATAAGCTCCATTAAATACAATCTTTAAATCTTTATTATTAAAAGATTTCCAGTATTTTTTGATGCAGGAATCTTTTATATTAGCCCTCATTTCAACTCAGTTTTTTTCTATTTATATTATTTCTTTTATCTGTCTTTTATTAAGACAGATTTATTATTGTATTAAGACAGGTTTAAAATGTTTTGAATAATCTGTAGGACTGGCCTCTTTTAGCCACTTGCTTATTAACCGCTGACTACAAGCCAGGCACTGGGCGAGGCTCTGAGGTTACTGTGAGGACAGGGATGAGACTGCTCTGTCATGAGGCCACCTTTGATTTTCTGGTGATGTTGGGCAAGTCCTTTGTCCTTATGCTTAAGGTTTTCCATATGTAAGAGTTCTAATTTTGATGCTGCCATCTCAGCAGGGTTTTTTTTTTTTAATTTTTAATTTTTACAAAAGATGTATTTATTTATTTATGCAAGCACTGGGTACAGTCAGAAGTGTGAGAAGGTGAGAGAATCCATCAGAGCCAGAGCAGGGAGCAGAACAGGCAGACTGACGAAGTACACTGCTGAGGGAAGCAGCGGGCAGCAGGAGAGGTCTGTCACACCATGACCCTCACTGGTGGCCGGGGATCAAACCAGCGCTGCAGAGGCTACGGGCAGCCTCCCAACCCAATGCTCAACCTCTGCGCCACCTGGGAGGCCCTCAGCAGGGGTTTTGTGAGCATACAATTATAAGATTAGGAAATAGCCTAGAGCTCCCTAAAAGAACAAATTGTTTGAATACATTGTGCTGTTTCTCAGGAAATGGGCCGCCCTTGCAGGTTGCTATGAAAGGGCATGAGGAGGTGACTGACCATCATTTCTGGTATCTGACAGGAAGGTGGGGTTATGGTCAAGAGGTGGGCCTTGGGGGTCCCACGCCTGATGAGTAAATGTAGCTACCAAATGACTTTTGGGGGTATCCTTTTCTCTTTTCCAGAATAAACTAAATCTGAAGGAATTTGATGACTCTGTGAACATGGAAGAAGACAGGATTCTAAAACCATGTTCTGCCCCCAGTGACCTAATTGACAAGTTGGTGGTGAATTTTGAGAATTTTCTGGAAGTTTCCACAGAGAAACCTAGCAAGGGTCAGGAAAACATTTTGGGAGAGGAAAATGAGTATGTGACCTCTCCTTACAGGCCTTATTGTCCCCTTGAGAAGAGTTTTGAGGAACCACTCACTTCAACTGAAATTACTCCTGAAAAATCCCAACACTTGGGTTCTGAAATGCCAGGGAGGACCTGCTCAGAAGCCAGAGAACAACTTCTCTTTTCTGCTCAGAGTTTAAAGCCAGACCATTTTTGTGAGCAAGAAACACCAAATCCTTATTTGAAAAATTCAGTGACAACGAGAGAATTTCTTGTGTCTAGAAACTTCCAGATCAAACCAAAAGAGACAGGTGCCAATATGGCCTGAATTGTTCTGCATCCTAGTATAGGTGCCTTTTGAGAGAGAAGATATCAAGACTTAATTGGAAGAACTTCCTCGGCTGATCTCCCCATCCTGCTTGTGTTGATCAAGTATCACAGGCCCCTGAGTGGCTGGTTGAGCATGGTTGCCAGAGACATGCAGCTTGCCTGAGAAGAAAGGACAATGATAAGCCTGAGCAGTTTGCAGAGGAAAAGCAATTTGGAGGCATTGGACAGTCTGACTAAAAGGGACGGTGGACCCCTAAGGTGGCTATCTCTGGCCTTCCCTAGGAGCTGGGTCCTGGTCAGTCTTTACTGGGGCTACTCAGAGTCCCAGGACAGACTTTCCCTGGTGCCAGAAGACATTTGTTTAGTTGACACTTGGGCTGTCTGGTGGGGGGGAGAGTTTCTTCCCTTTTACTTTGGTCTTTCCTGGGCTCAAGGACTTCACCTCTAAGGTAGCCTTACAATCTCACTTTTGAGACCACATTTCTCCCTCAACACAGGGATGTGGAGGGAGTAGAAGTGGAGTGACTTTCCTAATGATGTGCCCTCATTACCTTCATTGAACCCCAAGGGTTGGGGGGGGGTGAAATAGCTGAAGGTGGTCAAGGGGTATAAAGAAAGAATCTCAAGTATCTGTAGCAACAACCTCACCCAGTGCTCTTGCCCCTCATGCATCCACAGAGGCTCCTGGTGAATCAGGAATGAGAGAGCCTCATTGGGGCACTGAGGATGGACTGCAGTCTTGGCTGGGGCTCCACCCCACTCTCCAGACATTGCCCAGCCCTGGAAACAGTTCCTGGAGGCCCTCGCCATCCTTCTATCTTGCATGCAAGCCTGGGAGCAGAAAGGCACCAGATACTGCAGTGGCTTCTGTACAGGGACCCTGGCAACCCACACCAGCTTGGAGCCCAAGAATGCTTACTGAAAACACCGTCCAATGACCTTATTCCAGAAGCAGCCATGCGGGGCCTGGGGACAGGCACTGTGCAGCAGCTGTGCTGCTCTAATATCTGGACTTCTCCTCCCTCACCCCAGCCAAGTGCAGAACGCATGCCATTTTGTAGAGCCTTTAGCCCACGTGCTGATGGAAGACTCAGCTGCCAAGACCCAGGATCTTACAGCTGGAGCTGGGCTGGTGCACTGACCACGGTGATGTCAGATGACTTCCCATGTGTGGCTGTGGCCCATCTGGCTGTAGGGAGAGGTCACTGAGAGCCTAGTCAGGTCAGGAATGTCTAGACCCAGGGTGCAGTGAACCCGGCATTTGCCAGTAGGAAAGTTGGATGGCATTTTTCTAGGAGAGTTTCAATAGTCAGTATTTGTGTAGAGGTACCAGCTTCACAAGCCACCAATTCAGGTGTGCAAAAACATCAACTTCCTATTACAAAAATCAGTTTCTAGCCAAATCCCTGCCCTAGCCAAGTAACCACAGACACCCCCCTACTCCGCCCCCAATCCCAGGGGTCACCTGCCACTTTCCTTAGCCAGTTGCTACATCCTTACATGGGTGCAGGCAGGTGGGGCTGCTCTCCCAAAGCTCTGTCCTCATTAAATCTGAAGTGTCTGTAATACCCTCCACCCCAAAACTCTTCACTCCTAGTTTATAAAACAGTGACTGCTGATAAACCAGGGAATGAGGGAGGCATAAGCAGGGCATTGGGGCACCTGATAGAAGGGATATACCTGTTTCTGTGGTTGTTGGGAGGGGTCTACCCCTCCCCACTGATCTGTTCCCCTCTGTTGTCACTTGGGTGCCTCAGTGAGCCTCTTGTCCCCCAGAGTTCCAGAGGGCATCCTTCCATCCTTCATATTTGTGCACTTTAGCCAGATACTAGCCTTGTACCCCACAAATGGTCTCTCCTGTGCCCTTCTAAGCACCTCCAGCTGAGGGTGGAGTATGTATGGGGTGGGGGCGGGGGGAAAGGGTGCCTGCGTGTGACCTCCCAGGCTTGTCTGTCCACACCTGAATGAGGCTCTTGAACCTAAAATCCAAGCATTTGATGCCTGGGGAAGGAGAAAGGGTCCCAAATGGCTCTTGTGGGTGGATTTCAGCAAGGGAGGGGTTGCCCTCTGCTCTCCTTCCCTAATCATTCATTCAAGCCTGAAGCAGGTTCTTCTGGAGGGTCTGTGAGCTCACGGGCCCTTTGATTCGCTTCCGCCCTTTTCTCACTTTCCTTCCTGCCTCCTAAATCTGCTGCTGCTGAAAACCTCCCAGCAGTTTCTCATCTTTTTCACTTTTCTCTTTTTTTTCTTGTTTATTTTCTTTTCATTTCTTTCCTTACCCATAAGCCTGCTTTGATCATTTTCCGTATTTATTTTTGTTGCTTCTGAGGGCCAAGAGAATGGGGGCTCTCTGTTCTAGGTGGTCCCCTGGTCTTGTCATAAGAGTCAGCGTTTCCTGCCAACCAGAGGATTTTTGTTTTCTTAGGAAACCCAGAAACTTAGTCAGCAGGCCTCACCCTGCATGCCAGTGCAGATTCGGTGGACACAGGCCTGAGCGTGTGGACTTCACTGGTGGACTTCCTCTTCCAGGATAGTCACAAACTGTCCCCATTCCTAGTGTCCTGAGCTGCTTCTGTGGCCAGAAAAGGACATCAGCATTTTCTCTTACTGCCAAAGAAATGTTGAGTGAACAAAACAGGAAAAACTGCTATCGCAGTGTCATTATGAATTGATAAAATTCCCCTTAACGAGCTTTCTGAAACTCTGGGAACCATGCGAACAGCTAGACTCGTGTCGCATTAGTGGACTTTTACAGTAAAAGCAGCAAAATATAAAAGAATGTCAGGGAAGCCAATCTGTGGTTTAAGAAGACAAAAACTATAGGTTTATCCATGTTTCCGGAGGCAGCAGTGTAAAAATACTATCTGGGGAATTTGAAAGAGGCAGGAAGTATGGAAGGGGAGAAAGGAGAACATTGGGCAGGGGTTCCCCAGAGGTCCACTGCTGCGCCTGCCCGTGTAGGGAAACCTCGGCCAGGCTGCCCCGGTGCCCCAGAGGACTCACTCCCCCTCCCCCTGCACCTTCCAGCACCCTTAGTTACTCCTGATGCTGCAGGCACACTCCAGCCCAGGGTGCAGCAAACCAGCCCAGGGCCACATCCAGACCCAGTTTTGTCCAACTCATGAGCCAAAGGAAGATAGTGGCACTTCTAGACACCTGAAAACAAAATGAAAGAATAAAGTTTTGTGGCACGGGCAACTTCTATGGAATTCAAATTTCAGTATCCATAAATCAAGCTTAGTTAGAATATAGCCAGGCCAGTTGTTTATACACCATCTGAAGCTACTTACCCCCTACAAGGCAGAACTGAGTCGTTACAGCAGAGTTTCTCCCACAAAGCATTTTGTGTTTTTCCCACGAAATATGTTTACCATCTGGCCCTTCACATAAAAAGTTTTCTGACCCCGTGTAACCCACAGACAAGAGGCCCAGAGTGCAATGTGGCAGCCCACAGCGTTTTTATGTTGAGTTAGTTGCTAATAAAAAAAAAAATCAGATTCAGGATTTCGAACTGAATGACGGTGGCGCTTTAGAAGGGCAGATCACTCTCTGGCTACCCTCACCCTCACAGCTTCCTGTCTCAAAGCGAAGATAGACAGCTGGTGGCTTTTCATGGCTTGCTCAGGCAGTTCTGCTCCCAGGTCATTTTGTACCCCCAATCCCCAATACTTAGACGGCATGCCTGGGGTTATCTGTGAGGGGTGTTGCTGCCATCTAGTGGGCACGAGCCAGCAATGCAGGCAGCCAGCCTACAAGGCCCAGAACCCAACCTCTGCCCCACGTCAGCAGTGCCCACGTTGAGAAACCCTGCCCATCGTTTAACATGAGTGCTGCTCAGTGTCCAGAGATAGCTCTAGGGAACCTCCTCTTTTGTCACTTAAATTTTGTTTTGGATTCCATTTTACATTTTGTTGACTATTTGAAAGATGAGATTTTTGTAGCACATTTAAAATGTTTATGCTGTTGTATTTTGTTCATTGTTTTTTGAAAACAGGCAACAATATTGATTTGTAATCCCAGAGGTTGGTGCAATCTTTGTCTCGCACAGAATAGACTATGACAAAGGTCATTAGCAGGCGTTGATCCCTCTGCAGCTTTTGTTGAACACTGGAGTCAGTAGGAAGTTTGTTGAGAAGCACAAAGAACCCCAATCTATGTTTGGAAGAGCCTGGAGGCCCCCTTCGCCTTGCACTGCACTCCATGCAGGACTGTCTGAGCTTCCAGCATCCGGCTGGTAAGAGCACAAGGCCCGAAGTCAGTGAGTCTCAGGTTCAAGGGCCCCTAGATCTGTGTACTGCCGATGCCAGTTTTAGGAATGGAATTCCCTGTCTTAGCCATCTTCACTGTGTTGGGGGGGGGGAGGGGGAAGTGCCAGGAAATGTCCTGAGGTCTGGACTTGGAAATAGAAATCTAAACACGCAAACTAGAATGGACTTGCAGAACAGCCTGGACAGTCATGGCAACCAGGAGGGCAGAGGGCGCACACCAAGAGATCCAGCTCTTTGTTGTTTTTTCACATCTTGTCCGTACATCTTCGCCATAGGTAATGCATGTGCATGAAAGTTCTTTCCTCCTAAGCAGAGTGTTAAAAAGTTACTGTAATGGGAAGAGACTTTGAATGGATTTATTATCAAAGCATGTGTATTTTGACCTTCCAAGTAATAAAGCGATGGTGCCATTTCTATATAATGTTATATACTTCTGTTTAAAAATCCTTCCTACTCAGATGTTTAAATGAGACTTCAAAAGTAAATATCCAGTTTCCTTAACGCTGGCTCTGGGAAACAGCAGCGGGCTGGGCCACCGTGAATAGGACCGATGGTGAATCCCTCCTGCCTACACACCCCTGCCGAGGACGCACTCTCTCCCTGCTTCCTTCCTCATCGCAGCATTTTCAAACCCCTTCATCTCCTCAAGTTCTCTCACGGTCTCCCCTCATTGCTCTCAGCAGGTGGTGTGGTCCCCACTCCCTGGAGCATGGACCTCAGCCAACACCTC